TACATGAATTTTTTCATTCCTTAATTTTACATTTAAGATGTTTAAATAATTTTTTTTGTTTTTATGTCAGAGTGACGAAAGGCGCGCGGAAGCCAGACTACCCGCTTTTGGCTCTATTTTCAGGGCTCTGTAAAAATTAAAATTAATCGAGATACAGTTTCGGTAGTCGGGACTTTTTTTATGCAAATTCATTGATCTTTTCAAATCTTTTTTCAAATTTTCAAAATTTTGAAAATTTTCCGAGATATTAAGAAAAAACTAAACCCCCATTTTTTCTAGGCAAAAATACGAATCGAATGACACCTTGGTCATAATTTTTGGACAGGGCTGAAAAATGTCACCAAAAAAAGCTAAATCGAGTACATGTGAACCAGACTAAAATTGAACAATAAGGGACCGAGGTGTGACCCCTGAGGAACACCAGAGGTTACTTCGAATAACGCGAATAACGTGGAGTAGTGATAATTTGCTTTAACCATTTGAGTCCTATTCGTGAGGTAACTACTAATCCGCGGAATGAATCATTCCTCGCAACAATCTCGGAGAAATATCTAAAAACGATCCCGCCCCCCATTATATCCGAAACAAAGCCCTCTACTTCCCCAAATTACAACCGATTAAATGCCGGGTGAATCCCCAAAACGGTCCGCTTCCTTCCCGATAACGTCATCGACGGCGGACAGCTTTGGCGATGCCCATCGGCCCGTGAAGATCCCCAATCTGTCTGATGATAAATACCTTTGAGAGTGGCCCCTATTCGGCGTCAGGTGGCATGCTCCTGCGGCCGGAAAATCTTCCTTGTCGGGCTGCTGCTGGATCTCGCTGTTCTCGTGGCAAACTTTTCAGAGGCGCGACAACTACTGCTGGAAGTTCTTCGGGAGTTGAGGACGCTCCGGAGGGCGGCATCTGCGCCAAAGTTGCCGGGCGACGCTATTGGTGGGTTGTTGTTTTTTCGGAGTAGGGGTGGTCACCGAGATGGGGATAATTTCAAGTATATTCTTACGGAAAGGGGAATATAATAACCGAAGGTTATAGTAGTTGTAGTATTTCTTTATTTCTCCAGGTTCATACAAATTAACTTAGAAATGCGTCAGATGTGTCACATAAAAATACGAATTACAAATAACATTGAAATAAATAACAATAAAAGAGAAAAAAAAGCGAATTGTTCACACATACAGATTGAAATACATATCAAAAACTACATTGGATATAATGAAAGTATGCTGTGGATATACAGTGTCACCATTAAAGTGCGCACCATATGGGAAACTTTTTTTTCGAAAAGTTTCAATGAAGTTCAACTTCGGCACTTGTTTGTGCTTTCAATCAAATCAAATCAAATCAAATCAAATCAAATATGCTTTATTGTCCAAAGTATAAACTCGTTGACAAAGCTAAGCATGTATAAATGAGTTTCACTATAATAACTATACATTATACATACAGGGTGTTCCTTAAACACATGCTAATATTTAAGGGGGTAATTCTTAGACCCATTTTAAGAAAAAAACTTCCTATGGACGTATGTCCTAAACGCCTTAACTTTTGAGATACAGGGTGGCAAAGTTTTCAAAAATAATCAGTTTTTTAATAATAACCGAGATAATTTTGTAGACATCTTTGGCATATTTGGCA